AAAAAGTTAAAAAAAAAATATTTATAAATGTCATTTTCATTCGTTATTAGCATTTAAGAAAGTTATGTGTATAATTATGTGCTTATAAGTGTGATAATGTTTAATAGTTTGTAAATCGGAATAAGATGATGAAAAAAAATGTATCCACTTAATTTAAACCTAAATTTACTGACACTATTATAGATTGGATTAATGTTTAATGCCAGAGGTTCCTAACCTATAGTCCTTACCCAAATGTGAATTGCAGAGTTTACGAGGTGAGGGACAAAATTTCTCAGGGAATGAAAATTAAATCTCTTTCTTTCCCAGGGAATAAAACCCATTATTACTGGAATGTTTATAATTGAAAGGAAAAAAAAAGCCTAGATTGAAATCGTATAAAAAATACGATTGCAAAAATGCATATTTTTGTAAAAAGTCATATTTTTAAAATTTTCTTTCTCTAGATTGTCTTATATACTAGTCTTATATATGTCTTATATACTAGTGAATTGTAGTTCTAATTTTGTAGTGATAAATACCCTGCGAAAATAGTAACCAATTAATTAATTATTAAATTTATTTTTTACATTTTGAAATCTAAAGTACTTGATGAAAAATACCTAAAATTAATTGATACTTATCCGAAAAAAATCACTAAGCTTTTATTGACGCAATTATCATGTTTAATTGATTATGGCAATAGGTACTAGTTGAAATTAAGAAAAAAAATAATAAGCTGCGTACTTAAGAGCTAAATTTATAGAGAAATGATAGCGATTCGCTTAGGAGAAACGTAAGATTAATTATTGACGCCAATGCTGCTTAACTAATTAAAGCAATAAGCACTACTGTTATTATGGTTGAATTGGAAGTCCAATTTTAATAGGTACCAAATATATTTATATAGGTATAAAGTATTATATTAGTGTATTTTTTAACTCTTAAAATTGTAAAACTGCGCAGTTTTAATATAGGTAGGTATTTTATTTACGTCACACTAGAGCTGCACAATGGGCTATTGGCGATGGTCCTGAAAACATCCCTGTTGATGATCAGAAGATATGCCGTAGCAATTTTGATTCTCTGTAGAGGGGACGACTCCTCTGTTTTTGTAGCCTGACGACCTGCGCGCGAAGTCGGGCACTTTACGGTAGAACAGTTCAACGAAAACCGATACCACGCACCCTAGGTCCCTACGCAGGCAGATCAAAGTGATCACCCACTCGCTTACTAACCGCAGTCAGTGATGCTTGATTTCGGTGTTCTACTACTGGGAACCGTGTCTTTTAAGCTCAGCGCACTGCGGGATCAATTTCAGTATAGACACTGCGAAAAGTTTTTTTTCTTTCCTGGAATGGAATAAGAACAGAAGAAAATTACAGACGGAAGAAGACATAAATTTAAACATTATTAAAACAGAAGAAGAAATAAATTTTTTTTACTGCCATGCGTTGGCCTAGGGGAGCAAAATCATAACGAATGACTCTGGACACAGTTGGTTTTTATTTTGATGGCTTGAACTGCTAAAACGTGCTTTGCTGAATCTAAGAACGTAGAGCCGGGATAGCCTGCTTGGTAGAGCATGGGCCCATGTCCAAGAGGTCGTGGGTTCGATCCCAGGCCGGCCAAAGACTCCCTGTGTAGTAAATGGTGACTGATGCATGTTAAATCTGTCGAGTCGTGAAGTCCTCCATGTTTCCATAACAAATCAATACCTCTGGGGGTACTGATCCAGGAGTTTCCTTGTCTTCTGGATTGGTTCAAAATTACAAGTCTACAGAGTTGAACATTAGTAGTCATAAACTCAGAAACGGGTACTCAACTATAGTAAGGTAAAACCAACGTATCACCTTTTAATAAAAATTTAAAAAAAACACCGCTTTCCATTTTAAACCCTTAATTTGGAAAACAATAAAAAGAGAAAGTAATAATGGAAAAGAATATTAAGAAAGGATGGTAAATAAGTATTACAGCGATTAAAAATAGGAATTAAGTCAGAATTAAAGGAGCGTAAAGAGATAAAAGGAGTATTTTCAGTCACCACTTACTTATGGCCAATATTAAATTGATAATAAATATATATGTTTATAATATGTTATACATATGTTTTATCCATTAACATGAGAAAGTTTTAGAATGGTGATAGATATGAAATGGGAAATGATATCGAAATGCATTTGGATACATTGTAATCTAGAATTCATTTGCTTCTATGAATTTTTTGTGTATTTCGATACGATTTAATATGGAATTCATTTGTAATTATGTACCATGAAATAGGGGCTCGTCTAAGGCCTCATAAGGGGAAGAAAATCCCTTCTAGCTACATAGTTGCGGCAATTTTGAGCCCTACTGAAACAACGATAAAAGTATCGAAATAACTAAGTTTTTAATTCTCTTTTTTCTTCTTGAAATTTTTATTTTTGAGAAAAAAATAGCAATGGAAAACGCTTTCTCTTCCATTTCCCTGCACTACATCCCTACTGAGTGTATTATTTATGCTGGTTTCGGCAGAAATAATCAAATCATGCAGTAGAACGCCATGTAAATTTGTTTGGAAGAGGATATATAGAGACGTTTGAAAGAGATTGCAGCATGTAAACCTTCTATTAATAACAAAATAAGAGAGAGAGCAAGATCCTCAACTACAACTTTTATTTATTTTTTTAAGCTACCGGCTTTGTTTTGACGGGGAGTTTAAAAAGTTCGCCCTTCTTGCACGCGTCCGCTTCACGCTGGCACGAGGCTTGTCAAAGTGATTGAATTACTACCTTCAATAAGATGAGGAGTTACTGCAGAGGATTTCTTTTTTCTCCATTCAGAAATAGATCCTAATTCAATATGATATGTTTTTAGACTCATTTTTTTATTTTGCCTTACATTTCCCAGATATTCTAAGTGGAATTTGGAATAATTTTTGCAACTTTACATTATCAAAGATCTTAAATATTGCATTATTTATGCAGATTAAAAAATGAGAAACTCTTTTTTTTTTTTTTTTTTACTATCAGTTTTAACACAAAGTAAGGTTCATCACTTTTTGAAAATCACGAGAACTTTCGGTGGTAATAGAAATTTATTACAAAAGCTAGCAACAATTTTATCTTGGCTCAAGTTCGGTTCAAAATTGGCTCGATATGGGTTCCTATAAGAACTTGCACCAGAGGAACAATATTGGGATGCCTAGATTTTTGAATATGGGTCCTAGAATGGCCTATATAGAACCTTCATTGGCTAAATAATGGATAGAAAATATCCAGTGAATCTGACAATTTTATATAGGAACGATATTAATTGTAAAGTGGGTGTAAATCAGGTGAATCGGAAAATTCTATATAGGGCCAATATCGGAAAAATAAAGGCCTTTTGAACCCTTACTGATCCAAGGTTCATAAATATTGGCCCCAAGTTATTTTGCTACTAGCGTCATGATTCAATTGTTTTTCTTTAGTACTGACATAAATTATTTTTTTCTTTTTTTGAAAGACATAGTTATTGAAATTCTTATTTTATTTCCATCATTTTAGTTTTGTGTCTTACATTAATCGATTGGTGATACATGTTCATTTTGAAGGCAGATAGCCACAGAGAAGTCATAAGAAAATCGAAAATGGTCACAGCAGTCACAGTCTAGTGTGGCCGTTTTCAATTGTCCCAAGGAGGTCATAATGTGACTTTGATGTTACTCTGTTTTGTGATATCCTGAGAAAATCCTCCACGACTACTTACTTGTGACTTACGTCACTTGGTACTCACAAATATGCTTGACTGGAATAAAGTCTGTAAGAAACTTTGATTTTTTGAAAGTCCTATAAGGACCATTTCACAACTTGTCTTTCTAAAGTTATAGGAGTATTTCTTGCGACTTGTGTCACTAAAGTTAGATCAGTTACTTGGAAGTTTTGAAAGCAGTTTTTTGCAATCTCTTAAAATTAAATATGTGAATTGCAATAGAGTCATGAATGGTCACAACAATTACAATCATGTGTGATCTTTTTTATATGGCTCCAAAGACCTCTCAATATGATTTTGAAAAAAATTGTTTCCGTAAACGTGTTTGTTTAAAAAATGGAAAAATTGCTGCCGTACTTGCTCGATTCTCTAACACTCACAGTGTCAGGAAAAAGATTTTATAAGTAAATATACCCCTTCTCCAAATTACCGAACAATATTTAAATAAATGTATTTTAATATTATCTTTTCCTTCTGTTTTTAAAGTAGATGAACGCACTTACATTTTCTTAAGGATTCATGCTAAAAATTTTAAATTTTACGCAACTGCTTTAGATACAAACCTTGATATTTTTTTTATTCTGCAGAGGTAGAAAAATAAAGTTTTTGAGCGAACAAAATCGTAAACTAAGCTTTTTTGTAATCTTTTAATTTTGAATAAAATGCTTTTATCTATGTTGTGTACATTTGGAAATTGATAATGTTTGCACTTCAAAGATTTATTTTCAGTCAAAAGATGAAGACAAATATTCAACAGAATATGAAGAGCTTTGCATTGAAGAACATATTAGGTTCAGACACTTTTAGGTTTCTCAATTGATCCGTAATTTAAAATGCAAATAATAATTTGTGTAAAAGTTTAAATTTACAAAATGGGGAGATTGACAATAGGTGAAAATCATTCAAAAAAATAAACATATAATTGAGATTTGTTCGAAAAAAGTAAACGATTTTAAAGTGTCCTTTTTCACCCTGGAACCCCATTAACTCTTCAACAGAGCACCATTTGGGGATCGTTGCTTTAGCTAACCAGAAAATGCTCGAAAGGTTATTGCAACATTGGGAATGGTCGTTGCAAGATTCTACTCTCATTGACTTAATAGCGAATGAATTAAAAAAACCTGAACTCACTTTTTTAATACTTTAAATTACTTAGGTAGGTGAAAGAGATTTTGCCAGGTAGGATTTTCCGGTTCTTCTTGACTGGTGGTTCTGGATTTGCAATTAAAACTAGATACTTAAATAAATTTAAACTCAGTATTAAAAAAAAAGAAAAAGACAAACAATAATACAAGTTTCTTTTTATTTGTATAAATATTTCTTCTATATCTACTAATACAATGTTACCACAAAACAGCACAGCACAAATACTGATTGGGCAAAGCTTTGTACAGCAAAGTGTTCATCTTGGGGCTTATTTTTGTTCACCCCACCACTTCTAACAGGTAATAGAATTAAAATTGCCAAACATTGTACAATCAATATTGAGTAGTCACCTCAATAGTTAAAAAGTGTCCGTCCACATCATTAATTCAACATTAAATTTTATCTTTTATATAAAAATCTTTCCCCAAAATATATTTTTTTTCCAAACTGTAATTATTAACAAAAAGAATTTATGGGGTATCGTGACAGGAAGGAAAAAAAGCATACAGTAATAATGACAAAGAGGTATTTTATAATGATATATTTAAGGTTGTTTTAGAGGTAAGACAGGTTCAATTATCACAAGTTTTCCTTTTTATTCATTCAAATTTTTTGTTTGGTTTATAATTAGCCTCATAAGGAATAAATTTACAGTTAGCATTAAAATTATTTTAAGTTTGAATTAAAATACAAATATTTCAATATGTACAAAATTAAACATTATTTTAAAAATGCACATGCAAAAGCATTATAATATATATTTTTAAAAAAAATAGTATTAAAACTAATTAAATTATTCAGTTTTATTATAAATTATTCAGTTTTATCGTAAATTATTCAGTGTTTATTATAAATTTATTGCTATAAATTTCATCTATACAGATAATTACCATCTATTATAACCAGAGATAAAATTACCTCAAGCACTGTTTTGTCTTTATTAAGTGTATTGTAACTAAAATAAATTCAACAGTATTTAAAACTTAGTAGTTGCTTGTGTATGCTGTTTTTAAATTAATTTAGTGATTAAATGGGACACTCTCTGTTATCCATATCAAAAAATAATAACTAACACTTTATAATTATATTAATTTACACAACATAACTATTTTCCAATATAACAGTTTAAACACAATTATTTGATTCAAAGTAGGTTAAAATATTGAGACAAGAACATGCAAATCAATTTTCTAAACCTTTTCTTAGAATAGCTAATGAACATTCATTACAGCATTAAAAGGTACATAATTATATTGTTGCCACAAATGAAGAAAAGCTCAATCGATGGAAATTTTTATTTAAAATGTTACTTTAACTGAATATATTAGATTATTAATATTGAATAATATGCATTAAAAAGTTATTTTTTTAAAAAACTAAAATCAATACAATAGTTATCAAGATGTTTTTATTGTCTTTTTTTGGGAAAGGGAAAAAAAAAGATTAAATTAGATTAAGTAAAGAATTTAATTAACAAGCAGTTATGTCATACGTTTAATAAATGAAAGCATAAAAATTATTCAGAAAAATATTGAAGAAATTATAGTCACAAATATATATTGCATTTCCTTAAATTGCTCCCGTATGTAAATTCATAGCATGACAATGCATTCTATCAAATGAGATATTATATGTGATAACAGCATAGCAATTATTCAGAAGTAAATTGGGCCGAACAATGATATCACTAATACTGAATATCGATTTATTCTGGGTGAGTTATATGATACTAGCAAGATGCACTTCAAAGCATTTAAACTTCCAAATAGTAAACATTCGCTAACTGCAGACTTTTGGAACAGGATCAGTTCAGAGTTTTCTAATGATTTCATAGTCCTTTATTTAGAAAAAAATTCTATGTTTAAAATTATTTTAAAAAAAAAACAAACAATAGTTAAACATATTAAAAATAATTTATAATTCATAATTTTTAGAAACTTAGGGACCTTTCTCAACACTAATCGAACAAAATGGCACCAATCAGATGCTCAATTTCTCAATGCATATGTCCCATAAAATTTTATTTCACTGCTAATTGCCAAATAAAATTTCCCTTCTCTGGTGCTTAAACCAATTAAACTTTTTCAACTCGTTATGGTAATGATGTTAACAATTTCAAACGCACTTCACAAGCTCAGTATCACAGAACTCACTCATTCAACAACTTTTTGTTTAAGTTCAGGACAAGCAGATGATTAATTGAAACGTATTATAATACCATCTCACAATTTTTTTAATTTTTTTATTAGCAAATTATATAATTATAATAAGTATAGAGAATTTCAAAATCGTATGAGGCTAATACAATCATAGACAACAGAGAGCTCATAGATGAATAAGACTACACTTAAAATAAGTAAATAATTGCATTTATCACAGTAACTAAATTCGTTTAAAAAAGAAATTAATAACAATCGCTTCAACCTCTCTTCATTTTGATTATACACAACACTCAGGACATGAATTTAATGTACAGAAAATACAGCATCTCACAGACCTTATCGCAGAAAAACACATCTTTAACTTTTATTTATACAATTTTCATCATTTCTAAACAATTTCATAACTATATTAATATTATGTACAGTACGGACGCCTGATCCAGGTACAAGTAATACAGTTCTTCTATCGTTTGATACGTATTTAGAAACAGTAACAGTTGTAGGAACAGTTGTTAATGCTCTTGCGCTTGTGTCTCCGACTAGAGCTTTGAAAAGTTATCTAAAATTGTTGGAGATTTGTGAACAAGAACATTATTGCTTCTTTGGGCTACACAATACAATGGAATGAATGGGTCTGTTAATGATAATCTCATAATACTTACTTATCCAGAACAAAAACTACAATATAAAAGCATTCATAAAAAATAGTTACCGATAAATTATGAGAATTTTTTTAATAATTTTAATCCCAAGTCAAATAAAAAGAAAACAGACTAAAGTAGAGTCATTTTAAAAATCTAGCATCAAAGTATATGTGAGTAAAATGATTAATAATTTATTATAAGAAGCCATTCAAATATAATGCAAAGATACTTTTGACCGACTTTCCCATCAAAAAAAAAAAAAAAAAAAAAAAAAAAAAAAAGAAGAAGAAGAAATAAATAACAACTCTAACTGGTTTATGTAATATCTATATGTTTTTATGTACCCCCGCCCCCAAAAAAAGATTTTTTTTCTTCGATTTATACATTTTTATTTTTATCGATTTTTTTACCTAATGAAAGTAAATTAAGTGTCTTATATAAGCAATGATCATGAATATCTTCCCTATTCAGCAAAAATATTGCAAATCCTTTCTAACATTACATTAGAATAGGAATACTAAATATAGTAAGTAACTTTAATTATTGCATTATAATTTTTGTTATCCTTATTATTTTTATTGCCTTAATTATTATATATTTAAAATGATTTCAATCACTATTCACAATCATATAAGATTAATCATATATTATTTAATAAAGTTAAAACTTTTATCTAAGTTTTTCTGTAACATTTATTATTACATATTAATTTAACTGCCGTAAATCTTAAGAACATTTTCTGCCCAGTTTAGTTTACATAACATAGATAAAAAATAAGCAACACAGAAACTTAATAATTATAATAATTAAAGAATAAGTTATGCTCTGACCTCAAATTGGAGTTAACTCTTAAAGGATTGATTTTCACTTATGTGACTAACATTGTATTGTTTTATAATCTATATAATAAATTATTATCATTGTTAATTTTTGTCACAATTCTGATAGTATGCAATTTGTATAGTTATCATACTTTAACAGGAAAAACTATCATAATTTTTTTTAAATATTTTGTGATGTAAGAATATATTTAAAATGACAATACTTTATTTATACTGCTATCAATCAATAAAAATTTATCTACTAAACAATTTATTTCAAGATGAAAAAAAAATTTTTTTTAGGTAATAATTTAGAGAAATTTCAAAATTATGTGAGTGACAACATTGAATGTTTTGTAGTTCGTTAAATTTTAATATGTCTTAGTTTCGATTGCAACACATAAACATAATAGTTAAACCTCTTATTAAAATCAAATATTTATATAGAGGTATAAGAAAGAATTTATTATCTCTAATACATTTGGTAAAAAATCTCGTATTATGAATTAAAACCAAAAAAGTGTTTTATGGTATTGAAACAAATAAAATAAACTTTAGAGGTTAAAAATTTTAAAAATGGTGTATCAAAAAGCTTTGAGTTTTAAAAACTTTGATCTAATAGGTGGTGTTTTTTAATTCTAAATGGTATCAATACATATCAAATATTCCATTTGTAAAATATTCTCGAGTTGAATTTGTTTTTGTAGCTCGAATACAGCTATGAAGATAAAAGCCTCATATCTGGTAGGATGCCATGAAAGATACAGATTTTTAAAAATCTAAATACTACAATAAAGCAGGTCAGCTAGCATTTTTACACACTTTTCAACAGACTGAAATTTGAATATTGACAAGAACAGTTAAAGATACAGTTACAGATTTCTCCTGTTCTTATAAACTGTTGCTCTTATTGAAGTGCATTATTTTTAACAATGACTACAAGGTAGCATTTTTCTATATATATTTGTTGAAGTAAATTGAAACTGTACATTTATTACAAGGTGTTAATCTACAAGAAGAAAATACTCTTCAACAATGTAAACGTGGATGTTGTTCATTTCAGTTTGTGCAACATGCAAAGCAAAGGTTTCCATCCGGCGCTTACAAACCCGGCAAAAGTACACAACCAGAAGTATCTGGAGACGCCATTTAATCACAGTTTGGTTTCAACCACTTCATTTGAAGACTATTGTGCCAGGTTCGAGTTCTATCAGTGTTCTTGTCTGATGAAAATGAATATGACCACAACACATAAAAACGTTCGAAGAATTTAAAAAAAAAAAGCTGAAATGATATTATTTTCTGCATATTGTTGAAAATGTTTAAAAGATAATGATGAATGTACAATTTTAAAAGAAAAAAAAATGAGAATATACTGGCACAGGTCTTTGAACACTTAATAAAGATATTCTTTTAAGGAATGAATACAGAGTTCAATAAAGTTGATTCATGGCTCAAACAAGGCTAAAAGGTCATCATTACCACCTGATGTGTTGCCACTTGTACTTGTAGCCGTTGTTGAAGTGGATGTGCCTGATGAGACATTTGTAACAGGATCTGGTGTATCGAGGTATGACAAGAGTTCCATAGGATCAACACTTTCAGGTAAAAGCTATAAAATGTAAAGAGCATATTTAGACTAATGCATTTTCTGGTGACAAAAATATCATCTCCAGTTATCACCAGCCATAAAAACTTCTTTTTCTTAAGAAATTATAATCCACAATTTCAGATTCAAATCCAGTAATGAAATTCTTGCCCCCCTTAGGAACTATATGTTTAAGCTTTGTTAAACAAAAGAGGTCAAAAACTATTTTAATGATTTATGTAAAAAAAATATTTAAATAAGTAAATAACAAAATAGTTTCATTATAAGGATAATTAAAAATTTCAAAATAAAATATATGCTTTCTTATATGTAAATTAAATATGTTTTTTCGCATTTGCTGAATAAATGTTTATTGACTTTCAGCATTACGTAAAACAGAAAAAAATATTTTGGAGCAAACTTGGTTTTGAACTAATATGCATATTTATTTTTTTAATTAACTGCAATAAAAATTCAAACTGCAAAAATGGATTAAAAACTAATGCTGTAATGTCATATTAAACTCAGCTTAAAATCTATTAAACATTTTGGTGTAAATTAAAAAAAAATATTTTTAGCAATTAAAACTTAAAATAATTATCTTAAACATCTTTTAAAATGAAGCTTAGTCAATATAATAAAAAACAAACTGTTTGAATTGAATTCAAAGTTAACCTTGTTATTACATTTCCCTTGTTAAACAAAGCGCTTTTCTGAAAGTTGAGATAAATAAAAATATTGTTTTCCTTTCATAGGAATGACGTGTAAGATTTTAATTATAAATGAATAACTTTAAGAACATAATACAAAAAAAGTAATAGTCAAAGTTAGAGATTTTACTTATAAATTCGTAACATTTCTAGCACAATTGAGTATGAGAATTAAGTTTCTGGCATCTATAAAAGACCAGTATTATTTAATTACATTCTATATAAAAATCTACATTCTTGTTCAATCAGAAATAAAATTAATGCTATTTGAGACAAGTTTATTTCTCTCAAAAATGAAGTTCGTAGATCTAAGTTTATTCATTTACTGAAAAAAGAAACAAGAACCTTAAAATTATAAGTAATAATGTTATAATTACATATAGAAGTAATTTTGTTTTAAAAGAAAATTGCATAATTTTTTTTTATTAAAATTAAATATTAATAATTGTTAAAATGGTAGGGCTTTAAAATTCTTAAATATAGATATTTGCAAACACAAAATACATTGTTGAGAAATTTTAACAGAAAGTGATGCAAAGTCCTTAAGAAAAATTTCACTTTGATCAAGCATGCACTTTTCATAAAATAGAGAAATAAGCAATACTACTGATAATAAATTAATTCATTACAAATTTACTATCCATTGTTAATAATTTAAAAAGGCAGTGTTTCAATTTAAGGAAGTTTTTGTGAAATTGTTTGGAGGAAATATGATATGAAATGCTAAGTATAAAAAAATTTAATGATATCTGTAATTATATTAAGTTAATATTTCGCACTGGCTTGATCAAATTAGAAAGAAATATAGGAGGAATTGAAAATGAATTAGTTTTAAAAATATGATAAAATATATAAATCTTACATCATATTTCAAAGATTTTATATGTATGAAATCTCTCTAGGGTAAAAAAAACAGCCAAATTCTGAGTTGTAAAGGTATAATCAAGTAATAATAATTATCATAATATACGTTCAAATTAATAAATAAAAAAATAGCAACAAAGAAACATTTTCAAACAAAACTCATCAAATTCAAATTAAATTTTACAGCTGGTAGTGGCTCTAATATTTGCATTTAAAAAGATTACCATAATCTATAACATAGAAAGCAAAACCTACTTAGTGAGTAAGTGCAAAAAATTCCTTAATTTCTTATCATTATTATGGAGGGGACACTTCAATAGAGGGCTAACTATATCGTTCAGCAACTTAGTTCATTTTTAAAAATTTTTTATACCATTTCTCATGTTGTAGTAGCTAATTCTTTTATAATTTCCAAAGACATTAAAATGTTTTGTCATCTGTATCACAATTTTAAATTTAATTCCAGTAATGAAATTTTCACTCCGTTAGGAACTATATGTTTAAGTGTTTTTGTTTTGTTAAACAAAAGAGGTAAACAATTATTTTAGTGATTTACATAAAAAAATATTTAAATAAGTAAATAACAAAACAGCTTCACTATAAGAAAAATTAAAAATTACAAAATAAAATATAAGACATTGGAAATGTTTCTTTGAAAACAATATACAAAACATAGTTCATACATATTTATAAAAATGCACTCTTAATGAATAAAATAGATTAAAAAAGTGGACGCACATTAAGAATATTTACATTTAGAGCTTCTTGGCCCTGACCTTCTCCTTCTATGACTGCAGCTGGATCAAAATTTAAGTCCCCTAGATCAGGAGCATGTGAGAGAGATGAATCGCTGTTAGTTGATGCTTGACTACTAGGCTGACTAACGATGGCATTTCCACTATTTGTACCACTACTGCTATTTTCTGTTGTTTGGGAGGGATTAGAGGGTGGTGGTACACTGGGTGGACCACCGCTGCCTGAATTACCAGGTGTGTGTGGGGTATGAGGTGTGTGTGGTGTGTTTGGACCATGTTGCAGAAGACTTTGGCTGGATGAAGGTGTACCAGGGGTACCGGTGCTGGTTTGATGCAAGGATGATTGATTTGTGCTTGTAGTGGATGTGGTGGAAGGCTGCCGTAGAGACTGGTTGCCTTGATCGTGGAGACTGGGAAGTCCCATTTGCTATAGAGAGAAAAAGTACTAAATAAAGTAAAAGTACTAAATTAAGTTAAAGTACTAAATAAAGTTAAAAATACTAAATTAAGTAAAAGTACTAAAAAAAAGTAAAAGTTTAAATGTTTGAATAATAATTAACAAATTTTGCGAGTTTCTTGTATGCAACAGAAAAAAAGTCTAGCTTTTGAAGTTGATAAAATTAGAACCTAAAAGCTTCAACTTAAAGTTTAATGTATTATTTATCACAAAATATTGAGTAGTAACAAATTTATGGTATGTGTCTTAAAAAACATTAGCTGTATTTTCCTAAAAATTTAAATAACTGTAACAACTTAAAAAGTAAAGTTTATTTTGCGTATGTTTTTCTGCTGATATGTATACTTAGTATTCTATTACATGTTTTGTGTTGTTTACCAATTAGTTAATTCATAAAATCACTGAAAACCAATTTAAGAAAAATATTAAAACTAAAAAAGACTCTAAATTTGTTTAAAAGCAAATGCATTTCACTTGTACTGAAGACTGTTGACTATGTATCGTCTGAAAAATTGTATTACTAAAATACATCCAGCTGTTAATACATATTTATTTTTAAAAAAAATCTTTTAGTACAGTAAATTACGAGGCATGTGCAAGGCATAAAAATAAATAATGCAAACACAAATTGAAGTTAAAGAATTGAATTTACTTGTTCATGGTGATTTAATGATTTTTCCATGGCTGCAAGAGGATCTAATGAGGAGACACTTTCATTCAGGTGAGACAAAGGGCTACTGAAATCAGTTGCTTGGGACTGAAATTCATAGCCACTGTTGCTTCCATACCCAGAGCCATTTAACATCATAGGGCCATTGGGGACAGGACCATTTGCAATAGCTGCAAAAAATAATTAAACAAGTGTAACACACTTTAAAAGAAACACTTTGACAATGGTAAATAATTAGATATCTGTAAAATGCAATAATAAATTGATAAATGTAGTAAAAAATAAAAAAACAAGCAGATGTCAGCGTAAAAACAAAATTGTTCCTCCAACTGAAAATAAAATTTCCAATAATCAGAAAAATTAAAGCAGAATTTTAATTCTTTATGAAAATAGTTTGACGCTTAAATAATTTCAAACTTTAATTAAGCAAACAATTAAATTGTTATTAATTTAATTAATTCAAAATTTTTTTGTAAACCATCAAATTTGCTTCGTATATTTTTAAATCCAATATTAATTGTTATAATTAATAAAATTGCACTGAAAGCAATAAAACATTATAAATATTGGTTGCAAGATATTTATACAAAACATCAGACAATAAAAAAAAACTTCTATTTTATTTGAATCAGTTTTCCAAAATTATTAATATTAACATACAGCATTTTCTTAGTAACACTATCAAATTATAAACAAATACAAGTAAATATTTGCTTCATTTTAAATAGAAATAAAACTATATTTGTATTATAAGAATTCTAAAAATAATTTTATTTTTTATCCTTTTTAATTTTTTGAGGTAAACAAATAGGTGAACTTTAAGTTAAAATGATTAATATTAGAATAAAGTAAAGGCAGGGTGTTAAGAGTATTTAAGTAAGGCTTGCTTACATTGCATATCGGGAGGAGGTAGGGAAGAGTAGGGAGAGAGGCCTTGTCCCATTTCCCATGCTGAAGTTGTTGGCATCGTCATGCTACTTGGCGACATGGCTTTGAAACGTTTCTGAGCACCACATGCTTCAACTACATATAATTAATGTTTTAAAATTCAACTATATGCAATTATTTATATTATAAATTCAACTAATTAGTTATTAATATTATTAAATTCAACTACAGACAAACATTTATATTATACAACTGATATTGTAAAATATTTCAAGGCATTAAAATTGCTATTTTTAAAAAATAAAGACTAGAAACCTGTACTGTATCTGAAACAAGACAAAGCATATTTTAAAGAAGGGAGATTTGGATACTTCTTGCAATGATCTGTATCAAAACTTGTCGAAAATGATTATCCCGTACTCCTACTTAAAATTGTTTAATCATTGACAATGTTCTGGCAAGTTGTTAGTTAGACAAAAGAAAGAGCTTTCTTCCTGAGTGATTTTTATGAATCTATATTTTTAGTCTTAAAAATGTTCGTTAAACATTGATATCACATGACAGACACTAAAAACATTAGCATCAAATATACTAGAGTTACATTTAATGTTTTACAAATGCTCAAAGTTAATATTTGTTTAAGTATTGTAATATAAAAACGTGAAGAGTTCAAAATCATTTTAATAATTACTTAGAGTCAATTTTAGTTATAGTCAGAACACTTTTTGTATCTAAATCTTAAAAAAAAATATTAACATATTTCCTTCAAAAACATTGCTTATACTAATTAATTATACTAATTGCTTATACTAATAAAAAATATTTGAATCTTACGATACAAATATTTTTTATTTTGTAGGTTTTAGTTCGATACAGCAATGCATTGTTGCTTACTTTATCTCTAAAAACATATTCTGTTCATAAAAACATAACCGATCATTAACAAATAAAATTATAAATTCATTAAAGAAATGCTTTTATTCATATGAAGGAAAACTAAATGTCAAAAGTTAATTAAAACAAAAAAATTTTAGGAATAAAGAAATTCGTGTAATGTTTAAAACATAATACTATTAATGAAGTTCAACCTTCTAAAAAACAATTTTTAAAATTTTTTTATTTTATTTCTTTTAACGAAATGAACGGATTTATAAAACTCAAGAAGAGAGTGATGTTATTTTTTATTATATACACATGAAATATTATACAATGCATACATGTAATATTAAATGACAAACTCAAAGATTTTCTTTTAAGTGTTCTATTTTTTGGTAAGAAATAATAAGGATCAAAATTGTTTGAAAACAATAAATTTACATTTTTCTATAAAATTATTTTGTTTTAAAAAAAACCCTGATTAACTCCTTCCTTGTTAGCATCGCATTTCATACATTTGATTTTTTGTGCCCGCATGGTAGGCATTGCATCATTGAAACTGAGTTTTCTGCTACTTGCATGTCTCTTTTAATCCGTGATTATTTTTGTATTTCTGAACATTGCTAAGTGACTGCGCATCTAGTCCCACTTTCCCCACAATTTTCGGAGTGAGATTTTTCACCTTGAATTGAAATCAAAATAATTTTGTACTTTTTGTAATTTTGCTTTCATTAGTGTAACAGTTGCAAGTCAAAATAGTTATGATGTATTTAAAGAGTGAGTTCCAGGACAGTGAACTTATCATCTCTCGATCTTAAGATGATAGTTCTGATTTATCAAGCTGTTTTAACAGTTAGGTTGGAAAATTATTTTCCAAAATATATTTTTTACCCAATTTTAATAATTATTTCACGCAGATATTTATCTTTAAAATCTCAATAAATATGTAATATCAGTGCATTACAAGGAAATATCGAGATCACTGGACGGGACATCATGTATTTCACCACCAATTGGTCAAGCAAAAAACTGCTCGCTGAAAAAAATAATTATGCATTTTCGAATTTGGAATAGGACATATATATTAATGAAAAAATGCTTTTTTTGGGAGAAAATTCAAAAGGAAAAAAGAATCTGACATAGAAAGGGTTAATTATAAATTTTTTTAGTTGTTATTCCTAAAGTATAACTTCCAAAAGAAAGAGCCAAATTACAATACACATTCTTTAGAGTTAAGTCATTTCAAAACATATATACACTAATAATTAGGATAGTTAATTATTTAAAGTGCTATTTACCCCCATCTGTTTCCTCTTTGACAGCTTTAACAGGCACTGGTTTCCAACTTGCTGTAGAATCAATAGTTACTTCTTCCACATCAGAATTACTCAGATTAGTTAGTATACCCCAAATGTATTGGTCAACCTCTAAACCTTCAAGAAGAGCCGGTTTGCTGAAAAGGAGATTTTTCAGGAAAATTATATTTAATGTTTACCGAAATTAATCCCAATATATCAAAATGTGTCAAAGTTCATTTCATTTATAAACATCTTTGCAATTTAAAGTTTATTTACTTGAAAATGCAAATATAATAATTGAAACAGCAATATGTCAGTCAGCGGCATATCAAGAAAATGTCGTGCTATTTTGTAAATACGTTTTTCTAGTGGGATAAATTTCGGCGAGAACTTGATTTTTTATTTATGAGATTTATTAGTTATTGTCTATTTAGAAATAAACAAATTCAAATAAATAATAACAAAAAAAAAGAATTTTCTTTTACTTGAAGAAATAACTTAATTATCTCATAAGAAATATAAAAAATAATTTGGAAACACAAAATAAATGAAAAAAAAAATAATAATAATAATAATAATAAATAAAGGAAAATTAACATCTTATAATTCATAAAACAACATTTCATAATAAAGATAGGTAAAAACTATTTTTATTCCTTTGACATTTCAGCAAAATTTTAAATTAGGTAATGTTTTAAAAATATGAATCAATTTACTGATACTTTAATCTTCTGTGATTGAAAGTTTTATTCAAACATTTAAAATTTATTAAAAAATATAAAAATAAATTTGGCTCATGTCTAGAAAAACTTCATGTTATACTATACAACATATTCCAGGAATTGGCATAGTTTACAATTAATAAAAAAAAAGATTATAAAATACTAAATACATGGTGTTTCATAATGACCCTTACTACATAAGAATTCTTGCAGACAATACAACTAAAAAGTATACACTTTAAAGGTTTCAAATTAATATATAGAAAACATTTTTGAAATCTGATATAGCCGGAGTAGAAAACATCAAATGTTATTCAATTGCCAGTTAAAAATTGAAGGTGTTTCAAACAATGTTCTTTTAACTTCTTACTGTTTCCTCCAGCAATCAACCAGGTTCAGATATTTCGAACATCTGCCTTTCTCAATAGAGATTATACAATTTTTGCTTCCCTCCCTCACATAAATATTAATTTACGACCCCCCATTGTGTATAATTTATCTTCATTTTTGCAAAAGTTCTAAAATTATCTATTAAGGGTAGTCATTGTAGAACATCCTGCATAAGATATTTATTTGAAAAACAAAAAAATATTCTGTTATACAATGCTTAAAAATTGAATATATATTATAATTGAAAATAGAAGGTCAAGAATAGGAAAGGTCAAACAACAAAATAAATACAATATTTATAAAATTGACATACTTGCAAACAGGACATCTCCAAGCACCTCTCTCACAATTAAGTTGTAGATAAGATTCAAGGTCAAAGCACTGCAAGTAATAACAAAATAAATATTTGCAGAAAAAACTACAGTATCTCAGTGCTAATACAAAGCTTAATATAAATTTATGCTTAAAAATTAAACTAAAAGATACTTCACTTTAATTTCTTTAAAAATAGTATTTTCTAACACATTACATATAAAAAATATACACAAGACTTTAGAAGTTATTTCATGTTTTCAAATACAAATAATAATAATGAAGATATTCGCAGATCATTAGAGATCCTATTTTTAAATTTGAGTTTAATGAGCAAATTTTGTTTTTGTAAAGCTTTAAGTACCTTCATACAGTTTTCAGTCTTTTATCATACGTAACCAAATAAACACATTTGACAACTTTAGTTCAATTGTTTAAAAATTTCTTCTTTATAAGAAAAATATTATTGTTAAAACAAAGCTGAGATGTAAATAAAGAAGATCTTTTAATGTTTTCATCAGAATGTACCTTATTTTTTGGTTAACTTTAAATTTCCGATAAATTCTGATATATTGTAAAAAGAGTTAAACTGAATATTGACGATCTGTTCAATAAAGTTAAAAATTTAATACTTTAAGCAGCCAAACAATTTATAAAGACATACACAAAAAATTACAGTATCTCACTATTAAATTTATGCTTATGAAATAAAATCATAGATACTACAGCTTGATTTCCTAAATTACTATTTCCTAACACAACACATATAAATAAAAAACATAAGAAATAAAAATATTATCACTATGAGCTCAATATTTTTAATTATAAAATCACATTAAACATTTAACAATAAAGAGTAAAAAAACATAACATTAACTAACAAAAAGAACTAGAAAGTTTTTACTCAAGATGAGTAGGAAAACGGGAACCAGGATGGTTCACAGAGCTCGTCCTGCGTCATCTCATATTAAGTCAGAAAAAAATAGTTATCGTTTTTTGGGATAGAGAGGTAGCCCCATCTCGTGCTACCAATAAACTACCCGCTACAATTTAAGCTTTATTAACTCATAAATGATTTCTTTTTAGAAAAATAAGTTGAAAAAAATAGAACAAGACTAATATAAATAACTATATAAATACATACAATGTGCTTTTAAAAAAATAATTTTTACTTCTAAAGGAAAAAACAAATTTCCAACTATACATTAAATTTTTTATGAAACATATTAATTTAATCTATTATTAATTTAATATATCCGTTAAGAGCATGATTGAAAAAGTATCAAAACTCTCTTTTGAAACAGGATCATTCTTTTTTATAGTAGTTGATATTCTTCACTCGCATCAAAATTTATTTTGCCAATACTGAAAATTTTTCATCTTTTAAAATACAATGATACAAATATATTCTGGGCACAATGCTAAACACATTACTACTAGCATACTGCTTATCATGAAATCGTGGAGCCTTGACACCAGAGCTACCTTGGCTCATAATGAGCAGTAAAGGGAAGGTTTTATAAAACATAATTCAATGCGATAAATTACGTTTAAATTAATTATTTCTGCACACATTAATTTAAAGAACATGTGAAACATAAGAACTGGCGAGTAATAGATTAAGATGGAATAAGCTGAACAGCCAAGGTCAGCAACTGGCTGTAGTGCTAGCAAAGAAGAAACAGTGTATATTATATACCTGTATATGTTTGCATTCTTGACCTCGAGCTGGCAGAGTTATCCTCTTGAAAGTGATGGGACACTTTAATGACACTTTGATTGCAGTTTGTTCTACGCCATCCTCCATATTAAGAGCATTGTTGGAAGCAGCTGCACTGGAAAAGTTTCGTTTGATTTTAGCCACACAGTGGTCAGCTGGTAGGAGACGCTTTCGAAGGAGACCTTGAAGTACCGATCGAACAGTCGGACGATGGACAAGTTGTAGCAAAAATAGATGAGACTATAAAAATATATATTTAGTTAAAAACAGAATAAGAACAAGTGCTAAATGCATTAAAATTTGTATCATTTTAACTTTTCCATATTTAAGATATATCTTACACTGAAAATTACTAATTACAAAATTACTGATAAAACAATTTATAAAAATGTGTTGTATATCAAGCGTCAGATATACTTATAAACATTTTGTAGATTACTTATACTTTTGCAACTAATTCATAAGCATCGGAATTATATTGGGATAGAAAAAGATTAAACTAGCAATATATAGATAAGTATACACTGACTAAATGTAACAAATAGCAATGTCTGCCAGCTGCTAATTTTTTGCCAAAAATGCCATCATCATGAATATTTAAAAATATTCTGAAATTTCTTTATCTCATACTTATTTCTTCAAATAAGAAATGAATCTTGTAATGTTTTCTTATACTGAGAAATGCTTGTAATGAAATGCCTTTTAATTATCAGCAATTTTCTAATCGCTTAAAATGTTATACTTTTGAAAAAATTCGTACGTGTTTTAAAAAGTGGCTCCTGTTAAAAATGCTATAACTGTTTACTGGCGAACAGTAAATTTTTTCTTTTCTCGCCCTATACAACCGACCACACATGAGCTAAAAAGAGGCGAATTCTTGTATTTGAATTATCTATGTCTTACCTAATACAATTATGGTTATTGGCTCAGATGTTAAGCAATTTATTTTAACTTTTATATAAAAAAAAATTCTATTACAGCAGCATTTTGTTTGAAATGAAAAAAAAAATGATTGAAAACTTACACAACAACATGCAGTAACAGTTATCTGTATTGTATTTCTACCAGGTTGACAAACCTCTTTCAGGTAAAGAGGTTTGTGGGAAGCTTTGTTTTCCCCACGGTCAATACTCAGTGGAGTTGCATTTACAGAAACTTGAACTGAAGCTGGCCAATTGGTGTTCATCTGTCGGTCTTCATGGTGGAAGCATTTTAACTGTAACTCCAGATCTGTCCGCCACATGAGTGTCTGGTGCACAGATGGCTTTAGATGGAAGACATGATTACTTACAGCTAAGTTATGTTCCAGTCTGAATGGAGCTAAAATGATGCCATCACGAACGGGGAAAGTCAAGCGTAACTCATCATCTTCTGCAAAATAAAAAAGATTATTAAAAAATTGAAATGCTTATTAACTCTTCATATATGAGCCTCTAAGCAAAATTATAATAAAATTGTACTGCTACACAAGGTAAAAGACAAGTTTTAAAGGCCAAGGACGAAACTCATAGTGCAGCCACTTCATAGAAGTACAAAAAATCTTATTTTCATATTTTACAGAATTTTCGAAAACTCTTCATTAAAAATAGTAGTTTTTATACAGTTGTGTTGTTTTTCTTTAAAAAGAAAAAAAAACTAAATTTTAATAAGGAATTCTGACCAGGCCTTCTCTTGGACAATCGCCTTCGATTCCTTCCTTGAGTAGGGCCTTGCTGCTACTAATTATTTTTCCATCAAAAAGAAGAAGAAAAAAAATGATACAGAAAAGTTAAGAAGCTTAGAGAAATATGTTTTTTTTATTTAGAACAAGTATATGCTGTATAACAATATATATAGATTATATTAGACTGGACCAGAACATTAAAGTTTTTGTACAATTAGAGCAAATGCTTAGATTTTCGTTACTTTCAAGTGAGATCACCGAAATCTGCTTCTGTTATTTTGGCAACTGGGTATATAATGTAATAGATTTATTGGGAAGAAACATAAGTGACATTAAGGGAGAATTTTTATTATCATTAAATAGTTTATTATGCAAGAAAAATAATCAAAGAGATGAATTCTGCTTTCCTTATATTTTACAGCAGAAAATATTAACTTAAGTATCAGATTGGAAGATCCCTGAAGTTGCTTTAATAGAAGATCTATGTAAAGCAATTCCATAAACCACAACTCTGCATTGAAAACTATCCTTAAAGCGAGTCAAAATTAATAAATTTTTCGAACATTATTTCTAATGCTCTTCATGAATTAATTTTTTTTTTAATAAATACTTAAAGGCATATTTATGTGTTTTAAAAATTTTTTAGTTAAATATTATTTTAAAGCATTATTTTAAAGAAACCAGATGCCATGTTTATTACATGAATTTAATCATATTTCAAATTGATCTATATAACACAAAATTCCATATTATTAAAAAGTATAAGATCTTTATAAAAAGCAAACATTCGAAACAAGTAAAAAGTCACATGTTTCAAATGTTTGAAGATCTTATACTGTTATATACTATAATCGTATATTTTCAAATCACCGATGAAAGGTAATGAAAGTAAAGAGAAGGTAAGATACAAGAAAGTCCATAGTAATCCATCTATATCATTAAGAATAAGAAAAATGACAATTAAATCTAAAGCTGAAAACTGCTTACTGATGGGTGGAGGTACATTTGGTTTAGTATCTGGAAAAGTGGGCTTCATGTCAGCATTTGGTGATAGATATGGTGGAACAACAGATGCAGGGGTGAGAGGTGGAGTAGGGTTTCCAGGAATTGACATTGGCTGATAATTCATGTTCCTCTAAAAGAGTTACAAATATAGATATAAATACACACATATTATTACACTAACTAGGTACTGGAAAATTTTATCTTAGAAAAAATAATGTAGAAAAATTATGCTTTTTATACTTTGAGTTTTATATTACAGCTTGTTTTTCTTATTTAATTTTTGCCTGAAAAAATATATTGCACTAATAAAAAAACGATTATGAAAAATTTTATTCTAGAAAAAAAAACACATTTATCGCAAAAGGAATTATCGTTTATCACATAGATTTTTAGGCATTAATTGGTCTTTATTTTCTACTTTTACCTTAAAAAGTAAAATATTTTAAAATACTTCATATATCGTACATTTGAGACAGAGTATTAAAAACATAAATTTAATGTTTTATAAATTTATAGGAACCTATTTATTTTGTAACAAGCTTTTATCTTAATTAAAAGGAAAGTTAAATATTGCAACCTTTGTAATGCAAGACAATTGCATTTTATAATTTAATTAGATACAATATATATACTAATGGAGCTATCGATACTTTCTATAAATTTTTATTAACTTTTACATTATCATTAAGTTTTAAAAATTGTCCGTTAATTTTTTTTATTTAACATTTTACACATCGAAAATAATTGAGTCTTAGTTTAATTAAAAAAATTATTTAAAATAAGAAAATTACCATTATTATATAAATTATATACAGAAAGTTATCAGAGAAATGAAGACTTTTAATTGTTTCCTAAAGTTTATGGGATAATTAATTGAGATAATTCTATAAGACATTGAATTATGAAATTACTGAGTTTGGTTTAAGAATTCTAAATATATTTATGAATTTAAATGGTTAAAATCATACAAAGGGCAATAGGTTTGCTTTCTTACATGCAACATATCAGGCAGATTATCTGACGATAACAAATTTGACATACATTTATTTTAATGAAAACAAAATAAACAAGTATTAAGTACACAAAAATAAGATGAGAAAAGAAAAAAAAAGAGATGAAAACAATAATATAAAATATATCAACAAAAAAAAAGAAGAACTGTAGTCATGACAAGTAAACAAACTAGTCTTCAAACTAATTATAAATAAAAGTTGTAAATCTAACAGGAAACAAACTAACAAAAAAATTATATGAAGGTGATGAAAAATATCAAGAAAAATAACTAGATTCCAGATAAAAAGTAAATTCAGTTTCAAAATAGTGATGAATGAAGGCTTTTAAGAAAACGATGAAACAAAAAATAAAGAATATTTGCAGGCATAGTAAAAGATACCAATAAAGATCACTGCGTACTAGACAAATTAATAAGGAATAAAAATTTAAACAGGATTTATAGAAAACATGATGAAATAGAAACAAAGATATATACTATGATATAAGTAGAAAGATTCATATGCGATGTAAAAGATATCAAATAAGAAAATTGCATTTAAGTTAAGTAAACCTAGTTTCTATTAAGAGGTGAACTAAAGTATAGATGATGTGTAAGAGCAAAGATAATAAACAAGAAGTTAAGATTTACATGATTATGTAAAAGTTATACATAAAGACAGCTGTGTTCAATATGAATTAGTAACAAATGAAAATTTATACAAAGTTTATAAAAATTGAGGAGAGACAGACAAAGATAACTTATACAACGACATGAAAGTTATTAAGCAAGGGAACTGTGCTCAAGACAAACAGCCAACTCATTTTCTAGTTAGTGATGAAGGAAAATTAATGATGTCCTTATATCAAAATATGTTACCGGGTAAAAATGAAATCCAATCTTGCATCTGAAAACCAAAACTTCTTCAGAACAATCTTCAGTGAAATGGAACAAAAAATATTATTCTGGAAAACTCATGAGATGGTAACTTGATTATTAAAAAAAGGCAAAGGTTTGAAAAACTCTACGGAACAGGAACAGGAACAGATTTAGAATGCTTGTAGCTGAAAGTCCTCTTCTAATCCTCAGGACCTCCACATCAAATCAAATTTTTATAAATTCTTTTTATACTAGTGTAAGATTAATTAGTAATTCTTATTTCTTATAAAAATAAGAAGATTTGAAGCACAAACTGATATTCTTTAATTTCTTGGTTAAAAAGATTAATTTCTTGGTTAAAAAGATTAATTTCTTGGTTAAAAAAAAATATCTAAAAAATTGTTATAATGTACATTCTAATTTCTTGGTTAAAAGAAATATTTAAAAAATTTTTATAATGTACATTCTAATTTCTTGGTTAAAAAGAAATATTTAAAAAATTGTTATAATGTACAGTGAGAAGCTAATTATTTTCTTGAAAAAGATCAATGAAAATTTGGCTCAAGTTTTTTTTTTGAATTCGTAAAACATGTAACAAGTTTATAAATTTAGATAAAATTACATTAAGTTTAAAATCAAAATTTTTATTTTAAAATTCATAACTTAAACGTTAAAAAATTCTGTGTAGCTTTTAAAAATAAATATGTATTTATTTATTAGAAGAAGAGTAAAATGCAAAATAATAATATTTTAAAAAACAGAAAATGAAGATTTAAAATGATTACATATTATTCTTCTACAACTTTTGAAAATTATTTGCATAATTGCTAAGCTATCTTTTTAAATTTATTACCTTAAGATTTACATTGGTGAATTTATGATGTTACACTAATAATTCGAAATAGAAAATACAATAGCACAAATATAGATTTACAAATTTATACAAATTACATTGATTTACTGGAGAAAATACTCGGTTATTTATTTGGCAATTAAATTTTAAATCAGTAACACGTGATAACTTAAGAAATAAAACACAACATTAATGCATGCTTAGAATTGAAATATCTAATTATGTGACCAAGTTATTGAACATTAAAATAAATATAAAAAAAAAAAAATTTAAATGTGTAGGGGTACTAGGGCTTCTTGACATCATGCAATGCATATTTGGTTAAAGAATGAAGTGGGGAAGGTACAACAGGAGAGTTTAGTACCTGAATGTTGGGTTGTGTGAATTGGTTTGTGTAATGAGGATCATATTGTGTTTGTGGAGGTGGTGCCCCATTCATTTGTGACTGATGATAATAATGACTGGGTTGACTGGAATAAGGAGGAGCCTGAGGCCTTAGTGAGGACCGCATGTGCTGCTGGGATGGATAGGCCCCAGTCGGCATATGCTGTGGTGGTGTATAGGGTTGCTGTTTTCCATACTGAGATGGCGGTGGGTTACCAGGATACTGTGAACAACATACACAACCCTGTAAAAAGAGAGGAAAAACAAACCAATATAAATAAGATTATTATTATTGACAAACATCGTTAAAAAATTAAATAACATACATATTTGTTTATAGTGGAGGGCACAGCATTTGATTATCGTCAAATATACCTCAACTTATTGCTTATTTCATTTTAATATTTTTACGAAACAAACCCCAGTTTGCTTACTTGAAATAATATCTTAAAACATATAGTTGCTATGGATGGTTGATTGTGTAAAGTTAAGTGTAAAAAAACTTACGGACTACTACTTCCGACAAATTTTTATGCTTAAGCTTGAAAAAACGCACCGTCCAATACTATTATACTTGTAGTGTTTTCAATATAACAAATTCTTTCATTCTAACTTTCAACCAAACAAACAACAAATGAATTCTGAAGACTCCGTAAGCTTGTTATGAAACTACCCAAAAAATAAAAAACAGTGCTATTTTAAACAAATATATTTTATTTTATAACCGTCGTTGAACAGCCAACCCAATTTTTGGGTTTACAACCACTAATGTTCAACTCCGCAGCCTTGCAATTTTGAACCCAATCCAGAAGACAAGGGAACTCCTGGATCAAGCATTGGGAGAAATTTGCCTGCGTGGAGGACCTTTTAATGGAACTAATCCGCATTTGCGTTACATGGAGAGGAAGACCACGAGAACCTCCCACGGTTAGCCTGACGGCAAGGGGACTCTAACCCAGCCATCGCCGAGATCAAACCCCGATTCACTTCATTGGAAGGTGAACACTCTATCCTCTGAGCCATCGTGGCTCAGGGGACAATATACACAAATATAGCCAAATAAGGGATGACTATCAAAACATAGCTAACTTTACACTTTATTTATTGTGATATTAATTTTGTCAAATTTGTTTTACGCTCACGACTTGTTAATATTTAAAAATTACAGAAAACTCTTATGAATGGTAAAATTATGCATAAATTTAAACACAATAATTAAACTTCCTAGAATATTTAGCTTATTCACACATTGCCTCGTAAGCATAACATAAGTGGAAGGATACACCGTAAGTTTTCTAAATTTGTTCCGGTTTTAGGGAGTTTATTATTGTTTACATTCAGTCAACCATCCATAAAAGTTTAAACCGATTGGTATATTACCTGTCCAGAATTGTAATTCTGAGGAGGATTAGAATTATATGGATGCATTCCAGGACCATAATGTTGAGACATCATGTTATAATGATTTGGCCTCTTTTGTGCCATATGCTGTTGGGGATTAGGATAAGGAGAAGCTCGTGACCGACTCTGTGGTGCCATTCCAGGATTGTTTCCAGAATACATGGAAGGGTGAGGCTGACCGCCCATTCCTATACTTTTGTTCATGCCCATGGGACCATTCATTCCCATGCCAGAGTTCATAGAATTCACTGAAGGCATGTTGTTGGGCATATTCATCAAAGCACTGTTGCCCATATGACTGTTCATTGGATTATTCATATGAGTCCCCAAAGGACTGGACACATCAGTATTGGATGAAACTCTTGAATGATGAGAATTGTAACCTGGTTGAAACTGTTGGCCTGGAATACCCTAAAAATATAAATATTGGTTAAGTTAAGAAGATAAATTCTGTTATCTACGAAGATCAGTCTATGAAAATAAACCCATTTAAGTTTAAAAAAAGAATTATAAATGGTTTTAAGAATTGACATAAGCGATCTTAAATTAATAAAGTAATAGATAAATTGCCTCATTAATTGAATTACAAAAATTCAGTCGAACTTACTGAATTATAAATATAATCATTATTCTATAAATTTTTTATTTCCGTACAGAGCAAAAGGAAGAGTTAGTTAATTTGCTTTAAACTGCCCTAGAGTCTCCCTGTTATACTATTTTTCTTTGGATAAGATTTGTGGCCCAAAAAACATCACTTGCAACTCTGCCTTTGACAAAAGTTCACATGTTTGCTAGATTTATGACTCATCACCAAGTTTAGTTGTCATCCGAATGTAAAACAAATTTTCCCAATAAGGAATCACTTATGCTGGAAAGGTGAAAGTACGACTAAGTTACAAAAGTGTGATTCGCTAAAACTAAAGTTGAAAGCTTGCTACGCTCCTATAGACTTATATTAGTATACCAACTATATATTTCTCATGTCTTAATTAAATAATAAGAGTTCTTGCTCAGTCAGGGTTCGTTTTTAACAAGTCTGACTGAAGAATTCAAAGAATTTACAATTTTTCTTTTTTTTAAAAAATCATATTTCTCTTCCAAAAACCCTGAACTGAAAGATAAAATATTTTCAAAACCGTGAACCGTCGCTTATCCGAAAAAAAGCTTATCCGAAGATAGTTGGAAGAAAAAAAAACATACTTGATTATACTGATTATTGAGAACAGCTTCTTGTTGTTGTCTTTCTTGAAGAGCAACTACACTTGCAGTTGCAGTGGCTGTAGCAGTTGCTGCAGCAGCAACCAAGGCAGCAGCACTTAGCGCAGATGATGAAGACTGAAATTCTGAACCATTGTTGTGTCCTTGATTTCCTATTGCATTGGGTCCTATTGTACTGCTCATTTGATTTGAATTTGAACTATAACTGAAAAAAAAAAGCAGTAAGTAAAATCTATTGAATAAATACATGTCAGAAAAAACATAAATTTAATTAACTTACTTAATTTTTTTTGTTTTGGAATTACTTAGCAATCTAAACTGTTTTTAAGATTAAAAAAACAGTGTGGTTGTACAAATGGGATGAGAAAAAATAAAATTATTCAGCCTATTTTTTTCTCGCTAAAATGTTTTTGCAATTTATGAGGGATTTTTGACAATATAGGAAATTTAGTGAAAAAAAAACAAACAAATCCAATTTAAATTTGGATAAGCTTATTTGTTGATAAGAAAAAATCATAATAAGAAAATAATCATAAGAAAAAATATCAAAATGAATGAGATTTAAAAATTGTAAACGCTGGAATAGCATCATGTTGTCTTTCATTTTCTCTATTCGTAGGTACTTAATATTTTATTGTGAGGATATTTATTTTACTAAAATGAAAGCTCATTTGGTTCATGTGCAAACACTGCATTAACCTGTATTGTATCCATGTTATTTATATGAGTTTTTTTAGCTTTTAAGATTTAGTAGTTGTGTACACTGGTCTTATGGATGGTTAATTGTATAAAACTAAAACAGTGTGCGTAGCCAAATCTTTCAACAAAAATAAGCACCTTTAAGTACTTTTTAAGCACTATATACATTAACAAAATGAAAAATAATTTTTTAAGACTTTACATGATCCTGATAAAATAATTAGTTTCGGACATACAGGACCCTTTTCTAGATTATATTAGTCACCACAAAAAGATCGAGAGATTTTTCAGTTTTATTACAGTGGGTGAAAAATGAAGCCTGAAAATGAGAATATCTTGCAAAATGCAGCAGAGTTGCACATGAGAGTGCAAGAATCTCACGGAACCCAGCTCAGTAAACGAACATGTGGACCTGCAATTATTTCATCAAATATATAAAATGACTGTCGCTATCATACTCTATGTACTGACGGCACGCCGAAATCTATTGTGTTTGAATGAATTGTGAAAAAGTTGAATAGAACAATGTGAAAACCACACTTTTGCATAATATGTGGCGAAAATCGATACGGTAAAGAAAAAATCTACTTTTCGAAAAGGGTAAATTACGCACTTCTTAAAAACACCCAAAAAAAGCACCTAAAAGGGCTTTTAAAAAACGAAATAAGCACCTTTAAAAAACGCTACGCACTATGTAAAAGTAGGTGGGATTTGAGGCATAAAAAATTAGGTACTCTTTCCGATTGAATTTTTAAGTCAAAACCCAGACTTAATGTAATAGTGAAAATTTTAAAGAGTTGCAGTTGTAGCAATCTATTGTGGAATTATTCTTTGCGAACAATTGTTTTATTTTTTCAACATTTAGATAGATTTCGAGCAGAAAACAAAATAATTTCCCAAAGAAATAATTCAATGTCGAAATAAATAAATAGCCAAAATGTAATGAAATCAGAAGATTGCAACTCATTAATTTTATTTATTAATTGCTTTTGATATTTTCAGTTCATTTAAATCTTGCAATCCAATTAAACTTGAAAGAAATTTCATCATAATTGGATTCTAGAATAGCAAGCCTGTTTACACTTCGCCAAGTAACGATAACATCGGCGGAGGGATACACCGGCATTCTTAGGTTCGATCCAGTTTTAGGATGCTTGTTGATGTTAACAATAATTTCACCATAAAATCGAAAACCTCACATTAGTGTCTAAAAAATTCATTTATCTTAAAGGTTATTGTTACACGAGAAAACAATCTTAATCGAACATCGCGTCAACAATAAACATTTCAATTTAATATTTGACACTTTCGATTTAAAGTTAATGATAAATAACAAACGAATTACAGAATTTCTGACTGAATCCACTCCTGAATGACCGGACGAAAATATTCTCAAGTGACATTTTTTTGCAACCGTCCTTCAGTCACGCCCCAGCACTCTACACATCGAGAGCTAAAAAAAGTAGGTGGCCTTGGTAAAGGTTATTCGATGGTAAAATGAGAAGATTGTTATGAGTGATCAGACGAGATTATTTAATTCCATCCACTTTTTTTTTCACTTGGTATTTTATAACCAGTAGTTAAATCTGGTTAGAGTGACCTAATTATACGTTTCACTGTTCGAATCTTAAAAAAAACTTGCATTTACTATAATGTAATTAGATATCTACTATTTTGCAGTCAGTAGTTATTGAAACTAAATTCAAGCTGCCATAATAGAAAAGGAATATAAAATGCAAAACTAAATATTTATGTTTTCTTTTAATTCGACAAATAATATTCCTGATTCGAACATCGCTTAATGCAGTTATATATTTATTTCATGGAACATATTTTAATTGCTGAGTTACAGTAGACTACATAACTTAGGGTGCGCCCTTAGACTTACCATAAAAAAATTATAATATGAAACAAAATACTGTGGTGAAGAAATGTGTGATTCAGATATAATTCATTTTATTTTAATTTAAGTAAATAAGGTTAGAATTAAGTTACTTAAGTGAAATACAGAATATCGAAGTTTTTTTGTCTTAAATAATAGGAGAAAATAACTCACTATCTTATAGTAATTATATTCAGAGTTTAGTTAAGGGTTATTATTGTTTATAAAGTGGACTAAAAATTATTTTATACATAAAAAATATTTTCATTTCAACTCAAAGTATTATTTTTTTCTGGTGAGTGCGCCCTCAAATGTCGTGCGCAGCCCGACATTAATAAAATTAATAAGTAATAAATAAATAGCAAAATTAATAATTAATACGCCACTTGCTGAGTTAAGCCTTGGGTCCAAGTAAAAAATAAAACTTACGCAAATGAAAATAAATAAATAAAATGACAACTTGAATGTACATCCAATTTTTTGAATGTAGGAAGGAATGATAATTAAAAACTCGTTTGCTTTATAAATAATCTAACAGAAATTGTTTAATAAATTTGTACTATGAAATATTTTACGTTCACATTCTTAAAGAAAAACACTTGTTTTTTTTCAATGAACATTTAGAGAAAAACAAAAATTTAAGTCTTGAAAAAAATTTGAGTTCTCAAAAAAGTTCAGAGATGATAAAATACCATCCGGGAAAAAAAGGCACTGAGATAATAATATTGTTAAGTCAATAGTAGTATAAAACATACTGAATCACTACTTTAAACTTTAAGGATTAAATAAATGATAATTATTGTATACAGAGTGCCAATTGAATCCGTTTCCACTGTCTTAACTGTACTATCTATGAATAAGTATCTATGAATAAATAAAGTGGTGATGCGTTACAAGACAAGTCCATCTACGAGGCAGCCTTAGCGGAGTTCTGCAAATTTCGCGATCATGCCTCAGAAGATGTACAAGATGAGAGATAAAAGAGCTTTCAAATTTTCAGAATATCAACAATTTAGTACGTAAAAACATTAAGTGAACATTGAAGCAAATGGATGGTGTTCTTTACACTACGATCCGCTGCAAGCGCTTTACGGGTTATTGTTTCCGGTGTATTTTGAAACCATTTGGCTCACACAACCACAACGGGATGATTGTGTTTTGAGACTCTTTTAAGTAGTATTTCTTGTACGCGCGTATTTGTTACCTGATTTATTACTTGTGTATATAAAAAAAAGAAGAATCGCTTATAAGAATCGTCATTTCATTTGAAGACCTGTCATTTCAAGACGTAAGAATTGTCATTTGAAAAAGAAGAAAAAAAGAATCGCTTATAAGAATCGTCATTTGAAGACCTGTCATTTCAAGACGTAAGAATTGTCATTTGAAAAAAAGAACCGCTGTAAAACACTTCTTACCTTGTCAACAATATACCAACTTCGAAATTTAAACCTAAATGGTAATTTGTAAAATGAACTTCGCTGCTCGAACAATATGCTAACACTAATATATGATGGTGCACGGCTTGCAAAAGGAACTAACAGTAATAAACAAGTAAAAAGAAGCCAGTTTAGGACTGCCAAAAAGTGAGTTCTTTCTAAATCTAGCAACCATGTCAATTTTTTTTTTAACAATACATCAATAAATAATTAAAACAAATTTTCACTTCAAATTCACCAGAATTAATTATCTTATGAAATGCAGCCGATTTATATAATTATTATAAATCTGTTGCATATATTATATACTCAGAAATTATATAATTTATTTCTTCTATTAAAAACAAATTATCTGTATCGCCTCGCAGAATAAGCAGCTGTATACTTTCTAACCGGAAGTAAAGCGAGTCGAGATTGTTGTTGTTTACATTTATATTGAAAATATCATCCATAATAAGGATGCTTAAAACACGCATTTGTTAGTTCACGATTTCTAACACTGTGATGTGACAAAATGATTTTCGAAGAGGAACGATGGAGGTGAAGGAGTAATTTTCTCTAGACATCTTTATTTCCGGTGTACGTATGAGATTAAACATCTAAAATAAAGGTATTTTGCGATATCTCAAACGTTTGAACATTCTTTTCTTAAAATGAAGGTTCAAACAAGATGACTGTTCATACTAAAAAAATAAAAAAAAAATAAAAAAAAAAAAAAAACCAGAATGCTTAACAATTTTGTAACTCCCTTTTTCCCGAGATAAGAACGCTAACATTGCCATTTTCCATCAGGTGGCGCTGTAGCGGCCTAGCCACTTTACTATACCTAAACATCACTTTAATAACTACAGCTGTGGTCGTTTAAAAGTTAAGAGGATTGAGGAGGGGCTTTACTGGGCACCTTGGGTAAAAATTCGAGCTGTCGACCTTAACGTGTTCAAAATAATAAGGGGTCGTTTAAATATTATAAAGAGAACAATGGTTCGCAAAAATATAAGTCTTTATTATTATTCTATGGAAAAAGATGTTCATAAAAGACATACTTGTAACCGGGAGGTCCTCCAGTTTGCCGCGAATTCATAGATTGTGTTTGGTAGGGTGTTTTGGATGAAGCCCCATTTGCGGGAGGGTAACCGCTGTTTTGTGGAGGCGCCCCTTGGGTGTAAGGCATCGGGGCGATCGTGGTGCTAGTGTTCGCACCAAAGGAACTGTGTGCGAGAGGCCCGCTCTGCGTCGTTGTGGTGACGCCCCACACAGTGGTGACCACGGACAGCTGCTGTTGTGGCCCTTGGGGAGGGGCACCACCGCTCGCAGGGCCGGATGACGGTGACTGCTGCCAGCCTCCAAGAGACATGGCAGGATCACTGTAAGAAAAAAAAGAAAGAAATGTTACTATCTTGCATTAGAAACTGAATGACAGCTTTTAATATAGAAAAAAGAGCGGGTATACGGCAAATATATTTAAAAAAATTATTTGATGTATTATCGCTGTTTCTTTTGTATTATTTATTGGCTTAATAAAGATTTATATACATATTTACAAAATGTGTTCAGGAAATTATTACATTCTGTTGGGTATTTCTTTCTTTCTCTGTACCGTTAAATTAATATCAGAGTTTATTTTTTTTCCTCCAGACGTTTTTTTTTCCCTTCTTAATTTCAGCATACATTCTTTTCAGTGAGACTCAATTCTAAAAGACTCTATATTAAGAGAGACTCAATTCTAAAAGATAATAAACTCAGCGAGACTTAAATCTATTTGGCATTAAACTATAGATTCCCCCGCTTATTTCGGTATGAATAAAAGTGCTACGTAATAGTGATAATCTCAATCTACGTATGCATGAATTTATACAATTTAAATCCTGCTAGTAGACTGAATACAATATATGAAATTTAAGTACAGATAATCAGCGAATTGCATTAAACATTTACCCAAGTATCCTTTTGTTTGAACCCAACTCAAAGGATAGGGAAACACTGGCATATAATCAATTACCTATGCTAAATTACATGGAGAACCAAACATCTCATGGTTAGCCCACAACAGGACCCATGATCTGTTGATCTATTGAGAGTATTTTCGATTTGGTTTTCCAAGTTGTTTTGGATTTTCATAAAATGTTCATTTCTCATCAGTTAATCGCCTTTGGAAATAATTTTCAAACTACAGAATCAAATCTTTATTTTTTATTCCTGGTAATACTTCTAATCACTACAATTGATTGATATTAGCTACACTGTTATTCTGTTAGCTACCTTTTCAAGGGTGGATTTCGTGTACATTCGTTAATGAATAAATTCTTTCCAGAAACTGCATTTTCACAGGTTAGTTTAAGGCCTAAGTAGTAAATAAATTTTTTATTGTTATTATCATTTTCTCGTAAATTATTTTAAAAATAAATAAATAAACTACTTTTCTTAATAAAAAATGAAATTCACTTATTAATGGGGAAAAAAGAAAACGAATGATTCGAAATAAAGCACATGAAATAAAAATTAGAAGAATAAAACATGCTCTTTATAAATAAAAGAGATCGTTTATTTTTGCAGATAGAATGAGGTTCAATAGGGGAAAAAATAGTTGCACATGTTTATTAACTCCTTGGCATACGAAGACGTTTGGGAGACGTCATTTGTTTCTTATGCCAAAACGTGTCTCAGACGTCTTCAACACGGAGATGCCAACTTGCTCCGGACAGCAAATAAATATTTTAAAGTGGTAGTTTATCAATTGTGATTCTTGGTTTAATAAATTTAATTCAATAGATTTTTATCCACCACGATTTCTAAATAATTCGTAGGCTTACACCACTTTACGGTCATTATGTCATGCCTTTAAAAAAAGCAAGCAAAAATAGTCAAATATTTGCAAAATTTAGTTTGTTGTTATTTACCGTTCTTTTTAAAATTATTTTGGCGTGTCCGGAGCAGTTTGCATCTCTGTCAACATTCCGTTGCGAGCTGTTGTTTACAGTGCAATCAAAAATCATTTCTATATCAAGAAATTAATAATTTCGTTAGAGTTTGTTTAATGATATGTCAAGGGGTTACTATGAAGGATACAAAATTTGTTATTATTGGTGGATGGTTATTATTTAATCTTAGAATGATAAGAAATAAAGTAAAAATTATGAATTTAGATGAAGGGATGAAATAACAAATAAATAACTAAAAAATTACATTAAAAATCTTTTCATATCTAAATTATACAAATTTTTTATTGAAATGTTTGAATTTTAAAATTCAAACATTTCAATAAAAAATGGTCACCTAGGTTCTGTTCCTCATATTCCAGACTTTTCTTACATAAGCAGTTTGAAAAAGGTGTATAACATAACCAAAGCATTACATAGATTTAAACTTTAAGTTTTGCAACAATTAAGTTCAAATTAAATTTACGGTAAAAATTTTAAAATAAATTTCTAATTCTGTCTAGTGACAAGAATTAATACAAAAGTTTTCATTAAATGCATCGAAAAATTTTTTTTTGTACAAAAACGTCCAATTTAGTACTTGCATGATGTTAACTGAGCCAATATAAGACTAATTATTTATGTATTTCTTATTTTTTAATAATTTAATTGTTATTATTTTTTTAAATAGTCACTACATGTTTACAAATAAAATAAGAGGAGCCGTGATGTTTCAGGGGATAGAGCGTTAGCCTTCCAATGAGGTCAACCGGGGTTCGATCCCGGCGATGGCTGCTCGATACGAATTCCGCATTCGGCTTGCACCGACCACAGTGCTGACGTGAAATATCCTCAGTGGTAGACAGATCATAGGTTAGAGTCCCCTTGCCGTCAGCAGGGGTAATTGTGAGCCCAACTCAAAAATCCGGAAAATTACTTGAGTAAAATCAGTAATAACGCATTTCAAAAGATATATACAAAATATCTTTATAAATTTAAATCATAGTTGATATTTTCAAACATGAAATTCTAAATAAATTATATGTAGTATAATTTGAATGAATAATTACTTATAAGTTCACTTTTATCTCTAATCACATTTATTATACTACCAGAAAAAAAAAATTCACAAATGAAAGAGATGCTAAGATAAATTCTTGTTCTATTATTTTTAAACAAAAATTTCTAGAATTTTTATACATAAATGTGATCGTTGATTTCTTGAAACTTCTAGACCTTGGATTTCCGGAAACTTCTGGATCATTGTTAGCAAAAAATCCGGAAATCAGGATTTTTTCTGGAGCACAATCACCTATGCTGTCAGGCTAATCGTGGGAGGTTCTCTAAGTCTTCCTCTCCATGTAACGCAATTGCGGGTCAGCTCCATCAAAAAGTCCTCAAAGAAACCAAATTTCTCCCAATGCCAATGCTTGATCCAGGAGTTCCCTTGTCTTCAGGATCGGGTTAAAAATTACAAGGCAACGGAGTTGAACATTAATAGTCGTAAACCCATAAAATTGGGTCGACTGTTCAACGACGGTTATAAAATAAAATAAAAAAAGAGCATACATTTTAAATACGTCAGTAACTTGATAATATGCTAAACTAATGACAGAATTAGATGCGTTATCTCCGAAATACTTAGGTTCTAAACATAATCCAATTTTATTATCCATATGTTATGTGGTTAATTTTTTGAAAAATTTTCATATCAGCGAAAGGGGGAGGGGGGAGTTCTGAGGGAACAGATGTAAGCAGCGTGTGCCAAACACGCGCACTCCCCATCAAAACCTTGGCAGCTGTTCGCGAGTAGCTTTCTTCGGTCATAATCGGGTCAAGTGGCAGACGACTCGCAGGAAAAGCTGCTTTACTTTCCCTCGTGGTTGCCCTGGGCGACGGCTAGCCGAGATATCTTATTGACAACACCGAGCGCAAGCGCAACACGCACCTTACTCTTTTTCGCCATATCAAACCTTTCCCTGTATCAAAAGAATCCTTTTTGATTTTTCCCCCGTCTCTCCGCAGAATAAGTGAACAGATAACAGGAGATAGTCTGTTTTTTCTTTTGCAGCATAAAAATAAAATAGTATTTTGTTACATTCGCGTTTATTTGGAAAAAAAAAAGAACTTTCTCATCAAAACTATAAAGTGATAATTATTATTAAATTTATATCAACCTCGTAAAAAAGAAGAAAAAAAAATAGCATAAATAACAAATATATGATGCCATATCATAATACATAAAAAACACATAAATCTGCTTCTATTATTGTTTGGAAAGTTGTACACACGTTACGATTTGTACACACACATAAATAACACTATATCCACCCCCTAATGCAAGAACAACTAACGTACAATAATGAAAAATAAATCTTTCCAAAATAATGGGAATTCAGGTTTAAAATTTTTTGAAACGTTCTAACATCAATAAGCGCTTTTAGGATTACACACACAACACAACGGTCAAGCTTCTAGCCCCGTTTATCAGGGATATACCTTTTAACGGCCATGATAGGAACGCCACCTAATTTCAACCCTAGCCAGATGACGAGGACAGCGCCTGATCGGATACTCATATCTCCATACTACAACTTCTATTACAACCAACGAGAGGGCTTTCAGCCACGACAAATTTAACGTCGTGTGGCTGAATGCACCTTGCTCCATATACATGCCGGTTGTTTTGTAATTGCCAGGATCGAACTCTTAATCATCGGCTCTCAAACCAGTGGTGTGAGTTGTGGCAAAAGAGCGCAGCTTTTTTGATTACATGCAATTGATTTGATGAAAGCGATTTTCAGCCCATTCATTGACTTTGTACTCATTGATAAATATTTGTACGTTCGATTACGCGACTATACTATTGGGGGAGGGGTTAAGACATAGATTTTCAGGCACTAAATACTAGATTATTGGTATAATGTATTACATTCCGACAAATTTGTTTAATTTGTATAAGGGAAAACAATATTTTCAGATAATAAGACGACGGCAATGATACTCCTTTACAATTATTTTGCCATGGCCGTATCTTCAGGTAAGGATAGTTTATTACGCAAGCAAACATCAGCCATGCTTGGAATTCAAACATATGTTATAAGAGATTGTTTCATGATTGAGATTTCATATACGATATCAAATCACTCGAGTTTAAATTATCGATACATCAATTGGAAATATGTAGGATGCATTTTGATTATTACTTATAATGTAATTTGGTGTTGCGTTTAACACATAACGTGAAAAAAAATGTGATAAGTTAAAAAAAAACTGTATCGACAATAAATTAATTAATTTATTATTATTTTTTTTAGAAAATAGCTTTTTTAGAACGTTTATATTTAGTAAAAAAACACATATAAGAGTTTTGCCCAATTCATTATCACCACTGTGGTGCTAGTGCACAACCTGCTGCTCCTGAATAGCCAATGTACGTTGGCCATTTA